AAATTATTAGAAACAGAAATTTCCTAAAATTCATTTATCCTATTTCTGTATATTTACTGGAAAATTATAAATATTCTAATTTGAAGAGATATTCAATCCATATGATCCATATATGGCAGCATTACTTACAATAGTCAAAAGCTGGTAAACTTAAGTACCCATCAAGAGGTGACTAGATTAAGATTTGGTAGACATACACAGTGGAATAGTACTCCGCTATTTAAAAAAAAAAAAGTACCATTTGCAATATGAATGGACCTGGAGTTTACTATGCTTAGTGAAATAAACCAGAGAAAGACAAATACCACATGATTTCATTCCTATGCATATTCAAGAAATAAACCAAATGAATGAACTAAATAAAACAAAAACAAACTTTTAGATTATAAAGCCAATTAGTGCTTACCTGAAGGGAAGAAAACAGGGGACTGGATAAAATGAATTAGCTGCATGGTGAAGGAGAGAATTGGACTTTTAGTGGTAAATGTCATATTATGTATATAGACATTATTTTTAATGACATACCCAAATCTTAGATGCTGTTAACAATATAATGTTGCTTTAACTTAAAATATATATTTCAAATATTTCATACTCAGAAAGAGTAAGATAGCTCAAAAAGAGAACAAATATATAGTAAAATATGTGTATATACATATACAACATTCAGATAAAATCTTAAGAAAATAAAACTTAAGTTGACTAAATTCATGTTAAACTCACTTTTCTTCTAAAAGACTAAGGAAATGTTGGAAAAAAAAAAAAAGCAGCAGTCACCAGGCATTTACTGTTACAACAGCAATATTATGAGTATGCCCTGACGCTGGTTTTTAGTCAGCAAATGTTCTGCCACAGTCTCTACAGGTGAATGAAGACCAACTGGTATAACTGGGACACCACAGGCCTCTCAAACTTCAAAAGAGCTTTTGTTATGTTACACTAGGCATTACATAAATGTTCAGACACTAAAGAAAAAAATGGTCATCCAAGGGAGACATGCCCTGGTGATAAAACTGTGGGTTCTCAGAAAACTTAATCAGGCTAGAACATCACTGAATCACCAAGATATTCCTGTACAACATTTCTAAGGAGAGATTTCCTACATAATATTCTCATTTCTTTCTCAATGTTTCTTTCCTTTTCTAAAAATTGTCAAAAAGATTGTTTCCAGGGTTTTCATACTCAGAAAGGGTAACATCTCTCCCCATTCTGTGCACAGTAGGATGGGTCTCATTTTTGTTGTATTAGAGCAGAGTATGTCCTTTTAGAGCTAAATGCTTGCATGCATAATATCAATCGGTCCTCAAAATATTACAGTGGAAACACAGACTGGGATAAATTAAGGGGATTGACTAAAATTTGATAGTCAGTACTTGGTAGAGCCAGACTAAGCTATAGCTAGCTCTTCTGTACTCTCATCTGGTGCAATTTCTAAAACTACCTCTCCTCTGTGCTGTGAAGTCAGGGTTGACACCAGGTGGGTGGAAAGGCTGCACCCACAAAGTTTGGTCAAAGGCTGGCCCATGCCAATCATTACTTATCCTACACCCCAACTGGAGTGTTGGTTTTCTGTTCTAAAAGTACATCTCTCCCCCCCCCCCACTGGTTAGCTATTCTTTCTCATTTTCCTGTTAGTTCATGAATTTCTTGGCCCCCAGTGGAACTTATTTCCTCTCTCCTCAAGACACAACAAAAAATCATGGTCTAGTTGCTAACCTTGCTTCCTAGTGTGTAAAAGTTTCCTCTGTGCTACAGGTCAGCATTAAACCACAATTCCTTACTGAGTTAGTGCATTAGGTGAGTACAAAGCCTGCTAAGACCACACCTCTTCTACAGTTAAAATTGCCCAGACTGCTAATATAAAATTTTCAAAAGATTAAGATCTATGTTTACATGCTACTTAGATGGTTTTAACATCATTTGAGATATTTGTTTCTGCCTATAATTACTAATCTACTATCTGTTTTTTTTTTATTTTGTTTTGTTTGTTTAATGTAATGTTTCTTTGTTTGTCTGTGGTTTAATGAGAAGCTAAAAGACTGACCAAAAAAATTTAAAACTGAGGTAGGTAATATGGAAGAACAGATTTGTAAAAAAAAAAAAAAAAAAAAAGATTCAACCAGTTATTTATTAGGAAAAATTCCATATCATAATAAGTTGACACTCTAATGTTCTAAAAATATAGCATCCTCTTGAATTTGAACGTGTACAAAAGTAATTTAGAAAGCCTGCTGTCAACAGAGAATGATCTTGTTTTGATCCTGTTCTGATGACTTTGGGCCAACTCTGCCTCCTTCTGCACTTTCTCAGAACTCTGCAGAACATGGCAAATCCTTTGATTTCAATTGGCTACCAAATTCTTTGTCAAAGAATACAAAGTAGGGAGGACAGCTCAGGTTCTGGGGTCAGACAAGCATGGATTTGAAGCACTTCAGCAAATAACTCCTGTGAGACTCAGTCTCCTCATTCATGAAACAGGGGAAGCAATTCCTATCTCAGAACAATAAATGTGATATACCAGATTCCTGATGCTCACAATAGCTTTTACTGAGATCCAACTACTATGAGACAGAATTCTTATGAGTTGTCCATAAAAACTGTCATAATGTATACATCAAAATCCTCTCCCAATAAAATCAATTATTAGTCAACTATCTAAAGGAAGAAGCAAAGGAGGAGGGGCTAAGCAAATACCTTCTGTCTCTTTCCTCCTTCACACGCCCACCCTGAATTATCTGTATTTATTAATCACACTGAAAGTTCCTCAGGTGTGGGGGTCATGTTTCATCTTTTGGTTTCCCTTTTACAGCATAGCGCTCACCACATAAGATGAATCTACCAGGCACTGGCTGTTTTTCTTTTTGGTGGGCAGTTACTTCCAAAAAAGTTAAATCTTAGTGTTCTTACTAATAAATGAAGAAAATCATCAGTATGAATACAAAAAAAAGTTTATACAGAGTGAAGGCATCATTGTAATGATTACTTATGATTTCAAAAGAAGAGTATGTTTTCAATGGAACAATCTGGCAATCACCCAATCCACCAAGTGATTAAACTTAACATCACTAATTAATAGTCAGATGTGTGTAATTAAAATGCACAGCATTGCCTATGAAGTAGCTGGGCTAGAAATCTTTTGTCTGAACCTTATCAAACTTTTACACTCAACTTCTGACACATAAGAATGGAGAAATAATTAAATAATATTACCAGGGAAAAAAAACAAATAAATCTCCAATAAGATATATTCCATAAGTCAGTTAACCTTGTCCCTTCAAAAAGTCTATGAGATTAAAAAAAGAAAAAAGGGGGGAGGTACCATCCTAGACTATATATATGCAAAAGAGGCAGCAGGTCAATCTTGATTGGCTCCTGTTTGGGGTTAAAAAAAAAAAAGCTAAACAAAATCTTAGAGGGGACAATTCAATTCAGGAAACCTGGGTAAGGGCTACTTATTTGATGATATTTAAGGAATATCTGTCTGTCTTCTTAGGATGTTAAACTTCTGCAGCTATGTAAAAGAAAGCCCTTTGTTTTAGAAGATGCATGCTATGTGGGTCTTCAGTTACTTTCAAAATACTTAGTTCCTCATCCAAAAAACATATTGCATACATAAAACACACTCAGGTTGATAAAGCAATTATGAAAAATGAAACCTTATTGAATCTGAGTGGTGAAATACTGATAGTCTTTGAACTAAATACTGATAGTCTTTGAACTTTTCTATATGTTTAAAGATATGTCTTAATAGTTGAAAACAGAGACATAGTGCAAGCAAGCCATTCCTCTCTGGCCTGAATGAAAAATTCTTTTCTATTTAATAATAAAAATAAATTCTAAAACTTTTGCCCTAATCAAGTTACTGGAGACTACAAATGACTCAGGCACCTATGTGACAGCTGCTGTTGACAGTAGTTGTACTAGGGGAAAAGCACAGTGCTACTAATTGAGTATCATTTTCTCTGTTCTTTGAAACTTTGTTATTCCCACAAAGTTCTATCAGCACATGGCTAATAAAATGTAAATTTACCTAGTATTTGGTTTTCTGCCATTTTTTTTACCTTTTTATCTTTTTTAGTTGGATTTTAGTAGAGAAGTGTAGAAAAACAAAAATTTCATCCAGTATGACTAGCTATTCATCCTTTCAAGGTGCAAATCCACCCCTAAGAAGTTCAGTTTTGAGGAGACAGCTAGTACCGGGGGTTATCAACAGATACACAGATTTCTAGTAACTCAATTATCCCATCCACAAGAGTACCCTGCTATTAACCCAGGCACCCCCTGTCCACTGGAGCTGATTCATACAAGTCAACCAAATCCAAAGCAACAGCTTTCTAGAAAACAGTAATGATTTTTCTCCCAAGTGCACTTAATTGAAGGTCTTCAACCATCCACAAAAATAACTTTGGATAAAAACTGCAATCTGTGGTGTTGCTTCTGTGTAAAAATAACTTAGTCATTTGATAATCGTGACATGGATGATAAGGAAGAAGTACAGGTGTCGAGGCAATAAAGTATGTTTTACATAGTCTTGGCACTCCATGAGCCCTGCTGTGAGTCCTGGCACTCCATGAGTCCTGCTGTGAAGACCAGGAAGGAGAAGCATCAACAGATGAAAGCAGAAAATAATCCAAAACTTCACTCCACACACTAGGTATTACTGTTCCATCCAGCACCCCTCCCAGATGCACAGCTATTAGAAGAGAAACTAGATAAACTAACACTTTCTCAAAGGTAGGAAGCAAATAGAAAAGTATTACCCACACTTAAATGTTTGTATGAACTGGGAAAAGCAAATGTGAAGTGTGAGCCTCAAAATAAGTTCAAAGAACTTGCCACTATTTGTTTCTTTCCCAAATGAAAGATACACTATGCTAAGGCTAACAGGTAAATTCAAACTCAATGTTTAAATATGTGTGGGAAGGACATGAGAAGGGGGCAAAATCTCTAGAGAAATGTAAAAGAAAGTATCTCCTTTTGAGAAGACAGGAAAGACTTACCTAGATACAAGGATGCGTTTTCTTTCTTGACATTGTCATCTAAATAGGTTGGTCCCAGGGTATAAATAGGTGTGGAGCCCATTCCAATGAGAATCTGTGCACAAATGAATAAAGCCACATAGACCCAGTGATTGTTTCCTCCAGAGTCCTTCAGGCAGGCAGGAGGCTCCAAAGTCGCCCTGGAGTTGCCAGTCTGACACAGGCCATCATTGGAGGCCGAAGCGTTCAACTCTTGAATCTGGTAGGGCGGTGAGATGAAGTGAGGTAAAGCAAAGAGGGCAGCCCCAATGGCGATGAAAAGTCCACCCACCGCCAGCCACAGGGGCCGCCGACCCCGGCCCCCGAAGTAGCTGACGAACACCACCACCACCAGGCTCCCGATGTCAAAACAGCTGACCAGCAGCCCCGACTCAGAGCTCTTCAGACTGTAGCGCCTTTCGATGGTGGTGATGACACTGCTCAGATATCCAGAGACCATTAACGCCTGGATGAAAGTAAGAAAGCACATGCAGACCAGGAAGCAACGGGAATCCGTGAGAACCACATAGAGGCACCTTCTGCCTTGGAGCGTGGCCAAAGCGGAGGATACCGACACGGTTTTACTGACGTCCACCCTGTGGTTACAGTCAGCTAGCCCTGCCATCTCTGCTGAAGTGGACAGGGCAGAAGCACTGGGAGTCAAACGGTTCAGGCCTTGCTTCGACTCCTGGTGGCCCAAAGACTTTGTATAGCTTAGTTGGGTGTCTACACTTGTGGGACTGGGGTCTGGCCGGCAGGAGGCGCTATTTAGGACGGGTAAACTCTTGGACCTAAAGGTCTCTGGCTCACATTTATTTTGGACAGCTCCTATCCTGGAGGCTGCTTCCAGCTGCTCTCCCGCCTGGGGTTGCAGCCCACTTCCTTGGTCCATGGCTCTCAGAACTTGAATTCGATCGCTCAACTCACTTTTTCACCCACTGACCAAATTCGAGGGGCCAAAACTGGCCCATGCAGTCTTGCCCACCAGGAACCCAGATTTGGGGTGCAGAGCCGCGCAGTAGAGCATCCTCACTAGCAGGGAGGCTCCCAGGGCATCCTGATTGAAGACTCGGCCCCGAGGGTCCGCAGCCGCTCGCCCCGGGGGGCAGCGGTCCACACGGTCCCACGATGAGCCCTGCTTGACGTCCACCTCCGGGCGATAGCTCGCGGTAGAAGCCTTGCGCGTCCCAGGCGCATCCCCTCTACCACCGCACCGACAGCTGCCCGAAGCGAGTACTCCCGGTGCTCAGCAAGGGCAAGGTTAGCGCTGCTGTCCGCGCCGCATCCCGCCGAGCTGGCTGAGCAAGACGCGCCCTGTCCTCGCCGCCTCGGCTTGCGACACCCTGGAGCGCAAATCTGCCAACCTGCAAAGCAGAAAGAGTGCGGTCAGCGAAGGGCGGCTGCTGCTGGAGTTGGCGTCCCTGCGGCGTCCCGCCGTCCCACCGCCCTGGGGGCCAGTGCTGGGTGACCCGGAGGGTCCCAAGAGGGACAGGGGAATATGCGGAAAGAGAAGCCCTGGAGGAGGCGGCTGAGAAGTGCAGCCTCCAGTGCTGGAACAATAACCAGTTGGTCGGCTGAGACCCTCCCTCATTGTCTACCGCCAACCTGCCCACGCCCCGCCCCTTCTGCCTTAAACAGCACATCTGCTTTTATATGTTAATAATTATCAACCTGGTAGCTCTGACTCAGAGGCAATGTCTTTTATTCGAGTGAACTAATTGCTACCTTTTAGCACTCCTACTCCATTACTCAAAATAGAAAATGCCCAAAAAGAACAAAGGAAAGTTTTGTGTTGTTTTGTTTTTTGTTTTGCTTTTTTACAAACACACAATGCATTCTCGGTCCCAAATTTTTAAAGAGGGAGGCGACGTGTGTAGAAATGTGTGTACACACTTGTGCTCAGGCACGTGTGTGCGACTGCGAAGTGAATCCATCTGCTTCATCAATTAAAGACACGTTTTCAAAGCCCAAGGCAGCAGAAAAAAAAAAAGGTCAGCATGCTTGTCCCTTTATTCCCAACACTAAAAATAACACACACACACACACACACACACGCCTGTAAGAACTATTCAATTACAAATACCAGGGGCATTCGAGCTGCGGCCCACACGAAGTCCCAACGCGCAGCGTCAAGCGAAACTGAAAATCAGTTCGCTTTGCGGAGGGGTGGGGAAGCTACAATCAAACAAAGAGATGCCCGCACGCTGTCACAGAGCGCGCCGGGAGCCCACGGTGCCGACTTGGCACAGCGGACAGGCAGGGAGGTGTGCTATTTACATTGAGAGCACCCCGCTAGCGTGGAACTGGGGTGCGCGCGCGCGAGCACACACACACCGGTGTGTAAGTGTCGGAACCCCTCGTGCGACCAGCACCCAGCTTGGATTCAGAGAGAGCTGAAAACAGGTGTGTCCCGGGGGTGAGCCCCACCTCCCCCAATCTCCCTGTCCATACTTTAGCCCGGTGGGGGTCTCAGAGGGGGGATGTGCACCAGGTGGGAGGAAACAGCCGGACTTGACTGCATTGGGCTTCTGCGTAAGGCGCGTTTTTGTGATGCTGCCGAGGAAAAGAAAGGAGGAAGGAATAGAAAGGCAGAGAGGCAGCGGCCAGGGGCAGCCCTCCAGAGTCTCCCTCGCCTCCGCCAGACCCGCTCCCACATTCCCGGTCTGCCAGCCGCTACAGCCCGGGCTTCCCCGTCGCCTCCTTGCCCGGGAGCCTTCCCGGGGAACCCCACCCGCGGTCGCGCGCTGAGCTGGGGAATCCCAGCCAACTCGTACACAGCGCCGGGGGCGTCCGAGCCTCTGACAAGGAGGGCAGCCGCGACGCCGTACCGCCGCGGGTGGATACACGGATCCCGGCGGGAGCTCTCAGAGCCAGCGAGGAATCCCAGGGACACCCTCCTGCAAACGCACGAGCGCGCGCGTGCACACGTGTGTACACACACTCACACACATTCTCTCTCACACCACACACAAGCACACGCACACACACAGAGTCATCAGGACAGTACTCCGCCGCGCTACGGGAGCGCACAAGCAGCCGCTACTCACTCGTGAGTCTGTCGGTCAGTCTGGCTGAGAGTGGAGCGGCGGGAGGAGGGAGCTGTGGAAATACAGGGGTGGCTGGGTGCCTCCCGGGGAAGCAGCCTCAGTCCAGCCGCCGAGAAATCAGTGAATGAGACCTGTGACTCAGGCTGAACTCTTCCCCCCGGCTCCTCGCCTGTCACCAAGCCTCCCCAAACAGACACACGCGCGCAGAGACGCGCCGCGAGCAGAGCAGCAGAGGGCGCAGGCGCGCGGGCAGCAGCCCAGCCCAACCCGAAGGCTGCATGGAGCCACCCAACTGCCCTTCACCGGGTGCAGTGGGGGAGGGCAGGGAGCCTGGTGCCCCGGAGGAGCAGTTCTCCCAAAAAGCCAACTGCTGAGGAGAGAGCCCACTTTGGATAAAGTAATTATTTCTGTTCGTTTTTCTTCCTTGCCTTAGACAACCTTAATGTCTCAGGAACGAAGTCGATTCAGGGGTGAACAAGACAGGATCCCTCGCTGAGGAACCCTGTTTGATAGAGGAATCCACCTATAAGTAGCCTAAAAAGATGTGGTAAATTCTATGCAAAGGGCTACTGGGATGTACTATCCATTAATCTATTATTCCTTCATTGCGAGCCAGAAGGAAAGGCAAGTGCTATTGCATGGGGGATTGGTGTTTCAAGAGAACAGGTAGAAGAGTGCAGGAATGAGGCAGAGACCTGGACTGCATGGGGTGACAGAGTAGAAAAAGGTCAGAAAGGCCTCATAGCTTCTATTAGCTGAAGGGCCAATGACATTCTGACTTGCTTGCCAGAAACCTGGTTCTGACAGTGGTGTGTGAAGTGAAGCTATACTGTGATTATATAGACAAGTTAGAAAGCGTCTCTGAGGCAGCAGCAGAAGACAGAGGAAAGAAACTGACTGGAATATACTGAGAAGGTAGAGATGAAAAAAATGGGCCAATATATAATATCCCTCAAGTTTCACACATAGGTGACTAGATGATGGCCTGTAAAAATACAGGAAGAGAACATGCTCCTGGGGAAAAGATGGCTCTTGTTTAAGATATGCTGATTTTGAAATGTCTTTGGAACATCCAAGTGCACATGTGCCACAAGGCATGGATATGTGATATACAGGAAATTTTCACTAGGAATATGAATGGTGTCATCAGCACTATGGAGGGTGATGAAGGAAGACTGTGCAACCTGGAAAGAGATAGGCTACGTACGGTGTCCTGGGGACACCATGATCCAAGAGGAGAGGGAAAATTAAAAGCAATGATCAGAGAAGTATACAAAGAATCCAAAGTGTGTCTGTCACAGAAGCCAAAGAAGCAGAAAAACTTACAAGGGAAATGGTCAGATGCATAAAAGGTTACAGAGAAGTCAAATAAGATAACTGAGGCATTAGGTGTTGCGTGTAGGAGGACATTGTTCAACTTATGGAGTGAAGAAAGTTGTTCTTCTACAATATGGTAACTACAACAGCCATCACTGCCAGGGCTAAACCACTTTGTCAGAACTGAACCTTATTCAGATGTGATGGATGAAGTATATAGAGAGACTAAATAACTTGATAAAGGTGCACAGTGACTTTGTAGAGAATATGAACCCAAGAAACAGAAACGACCTTAACTCTGATCATCCTTATAATTGTATAGCAGTCTAACTTTTCAAGGTATTTTGTGTCTGTTATCATTTTATTCTCATCTAACAATCACTGTATCTACAGTTAAGACTTAAACAGCAAAGTAGGCCAACTGATACCACAGAACAGTTAGTTTGTGCTTAAAGTCCATGTTGAAACAGCACTGAATTTCTGGCAGTTGCCAATTGACCAATCAAACAGAGCAAAGACATTTATTTCCTCATTTCCACTACCCCCTCCTATGAAGATCTCCATCAAACCCACCATTATTTTTCCACAAACACGAAATCTGACTCCAACTATCAGCCAAGCCCAAAATGTAATACGCTACTGCTGACTAGGCAGACAAAGATAGTAGCATTTCCTAGACCTGGATACTCCTGTGAGCTTATTCTGGATCCAAATAGAATTGATCTCCTTCCTATTATATCCTTCCAAACAGTTTGGCCTCTTCTCTCATTTCAGCCTCAGCTCCAAACATCAGTTGTTCTATAGCAAATTCAATCTGTTACACTGGTGCCAGCAGAGGGCTTCCCTGCTGAAAGTCAAATAATCCTGTCCCTGGCACACACTGTGTTTATTCACAGTCAATTACCATAGTTAAACTAGACCCAGCTCTAAAAACCAATAGATTTTTTATTGTCACTACCAGAAAGTCCATGATTTACAGACAGAATGTAAAAGGACCAATTAGCTACTCAGCCAGAAAACAATTAGCAGGAGACATTTCTTCTGCTTTTTCCTTCATAGTTAAATATGACCAGGTGTGCTTCTTTCATCTCAAATCTTTGGATTAATAGAAAGAAATGGACTCCATTGGGGGGTACTACCACCCATGGTTTATTTCATATGATAAAAAAAATAATAATTCAATTGCCTTGTTATGAAAATTGGGATTAGCAGCACATGACTATAAACTCTGTTAGAATTTCCAAGCTTACTTATGCTTCCTCTGTCCAATTTATACAGATTATGCTTCCTCTATCCAAGTTATACAGAAATAGCTTCTTTCCCAATCTTCAGATTTAAAAAATGGTAGCCTCTGGAATCACCTGAGACATCTTATAGTTTTCAAAGAGAGATTGCCTTAAATGATGAGGCAAGGAAAACACAAAGGAGTCTTTTCCCCCTTCATTTCCCTTCTTCCCTAAAGAAGGATTACTTCAGAAGCCTCCCAGACATAAGAACTGGTTTTTGGTTCAGAATACTTTCAAATTCTCAAATCTAATACATATAAGACCCTCAACAACAAAATACACAGAAGAAAACATTGGAAATTCATTTCATGTCATCGATGTTAAAGATGTCTTTGGAGACTTGACCCATAAGAAGAAATAAATGCCAAAATAAACAATTGGGATTAACTCAAATAAAAAGTTTAACATAATGAAGGAAAACATTAATATATTAGAAAGACTTCTTACTGAAGGGAAAATATTTACATATCACTCAATCAGAGGTTAATAGCCAAGATACTAAAGAATTAACAATTAAAAAAGCAGCTCAAGGGGCCTACCTGGTGACACAAGGGGCCTACCTGGTGGCACAAGTCTCAGCACTATGAAGCTATCAGCAGCCAGTGAAGCAAAAGTTCAATCAATCCCCACCCAAGGAAGTGACCCACATGGCACAACAGACCTCTTCTGTCTTGCCTGCTGCTCCCCTCAGCAGTGTATTTCAGTGGATGTGCCTGTTCTGCTCCCCACCCTGTCTCTGGTGAATTCTCTCACACACACTCCCACATCTGTGGCCTATACCCCAGTTGTTGTATGCATAAATAACAATAAATCTTTTTTAAAAAATAAAAAAGAAGGGCCCTCCCTGGTGGTGCAGTGGGTTAAAGCACAGCACTGAGAATCTAAAACTGCTTCCACACATGAGTTCGATTCCCACCTGCCCCGGAGGTGACCACATGGCGTGGCAGACCTCTCCTGACCCGCCTGCTGCTCCCTGCAGCAGTGTACTTTGTTGATCTGCCTGTTCTGTTCCCCACTCTGTCTCTGGTGAAGCCTCTCACCGCCCCTGAGCCTCTGGCCTGTACCCCAGTTCTGTATGCACAAATAAATAAATCTTTAAAAAATAATAAAAATAAAAAATAAATAAAAAAGAAGCGGAATAAATGGGCAACAGATCTGAACAGACAATTCATTAAGAAGGATCTCCAGAATACCCATAGATACATGGGAAATGTTCATCATTGCTTTTAGTAAGGGATATGCAGATCAAAACCACAATGAGATGTCATCTCACACCCATGAAAATGGCATATATTACAAAGGCCCCCAACAATAACAAAGGCTAGAGAGAATGTGGACAAAGAGGAATCCTAAACATTATTAGTGGGAATGTAAACTGGTGTTGCCATTTTGGCAAACAAAGAAAATACCATATCACCCAGCAATTCTGTTTTGGGGTATCTACCCAAATAACATGAAACCATTAGCTTAAAAATGTATATGCTGTGCAATATTCATTGCAGTGCTATTTACAATAAAAACTATTTCTATCAGTACTCACTGATAGAGGATTGGATTAGGAAGATACAGAATATTATCTACCTATAAGACAAGGTAAAATATCACCATTTATAACAAAATAAAAATAATTCAAGGGAATTATTATAGAAAAGCAAATCATAAGGTAAGGATATTGGACATTTATATATGCACGTATAAAACAAGGGATGTTGGACAATCAACAAAGCAAAATACAAAAATTATTAGTAGAGCACTAATAAATGAAGTGAGGATTCTGAGATTAAGTGGGATGAGGGTGAGAGAAAGAGTTAATGGGATATGAAGGATAGTGGGAGAAGAAAGACAAGAAACAGAAAATAAATCAAATTTTTTTTTCCTTTCTGAGTTTGAAAGGGTTGGCCTAAGATCCTTTGTTTGTCTTGATATAACTGTGTACATCACCCAGTGTATCTGAGAACAACCCAATGAGATAGTATGATTTTAAAAATCCAGGTTATAAATATACTTATATTTATTAAAAAATGTTATAAATATAGTGATCCCACTTTTGCAAAAGGGTGTATGTGTGTGTGTGTGTGTGAGAGAGAGAGAGAGAGAGAGAGAAAGAGAGAGTGAGTGTGTGTATCTCCAAAGACTGGAAAGAAACATGTATGTAATCCTGATCATTATGGAAGTTAAATCTCTGGGAGTCTAATGAATAAAAAAAAACTATAACTATATTGAGAACTAATAGAAAATAATGGTGGACCTGGAAAATAATTAAATACACCACTTAAAAATCTAACATGTACTTATATATTTATTAATATAAATAAATTAGGTATTATTGAGGAAAGGACAAATGTAGCTTTTTCTTAAAATATTGGAATACACATTTATTCACAGACTGTGAAGATATATCCAGATAATTAACCATTGTGACAAATTTAAATTGTATCTCTATTCTTGATTCCAAAAAAGTAATTTATGATATGAT